CCTGTTTCCAGAATTACGGCAGGCTCGGTTGGTAGCTGAGCACAGCAGAGAACCGGGCTGATGAACAGCCAGAAAGGAGCCAAACTCACCATTAGGTCACAGAACAGGGACAGAAATTACAACTTTGTGGTGCTGATGTCCACCACAATTAGATGTGGTGGAAGCTGCTCTGGATAGAGCAGAACGCTTCCCAGAGAGGGACTCGTTGCCTAAAGTGTCCACGTATGAAATAAAAAGAAATAGAGCGTTTTTGCTTTCTCTGTAATATGGTTTGTACTAATACTAGCCAAAGGTTATTACTGTAAGGTGTCTTTAAACGTGTCTCTTTGCAATGATTTTTATGGTCCCTGTCCAGCTCTGAGTGGATTAAATTCCATGTTGCCCAAACACCTTAAAATCTCTTTATTTACTGCTAGTCTCAGCAAAAGGGACGGGCAGTGAGAACACGGGGAATTTTTTTTCTCCCCTGGTCAAACGGAGGAGTCAACAAAAGTATTGGTTAAGCAATTTGAGTTGGTGGGTAAATGCAGACTCTTAGAGACCCACATTCCTGTTCTGCCCCAAGCTGGTGTTTGTGGAAACGATTGTAGTTTGTCCATGAGCTTCCAGGAACACTCCAAGCAATGCAGCATCCAAACTGATATTAGAAAATACAAATGCAACCTAGTTAAGGCCTCTTTAGCAGTGCCTTGTGTTTGGATGCGATGTGTGAACCCGTAAGCTCAATCCTCTTAATTATACATCCTTTAACCACTGGCAGATAATTGCAGTGCAACTTACAGTGCATTTGGGCATTCCACCGCCTAAAAGGGCCTCGCTCGCCTTGAATGTCACATTCCAAGCGTACATTTGCAAATGTATCTAATCACATGCTTTAATATATCCTGGTATTTCCAGCACGGTGTTTTCTTAGTGTTGCTGATTGGGTTTTTGGGCTGCAATGCATTGGATTCTGTAACAGTGGCCAGGCCATTGACTTCTCTGTAGCCTCTGGAAGATGTCAGGTACCAAATTTCTCTGTAATAAAATACTTGGTATGTTCTAGCAAAGATTTCCCCATGAAGTTTGCCACAGCAGCGGTTGTGTCACCAGGAGTGGCCTTGGCCCCTGTCCTGCCCGTCTTTGCTGCGCGGCTCTGCTTGCAGTGCTAAGTTTGCTGTTCTTCACAAGCCCAAACAGGATTTTTTCACCAGAGGAAGGGGGTTTTGTCCCAGTCATCCTTCAGGAGTGAGAAATGGGAGAAGGGGAAATAGGAAATGTGTTCCCAGAGCTCAAACGCTAGCAGTGAGCTCCCAGGAACATAAGCCGTGCCCTAGTGGATCCTCCAGCCTAGTGCTCTGTCTGTCCCATGGGGAACAAGGGATGCCCAGAAGCCTGGCAGCTTCCTGGGATTCTCCCTTCTCCTTGCTCAGCATCCCGGGCTGTTAAATTCGGCATTGCAGCAAGTGCATCACTGCCCACTTCCTTACACAGCTGTTCCTGTGCTAACTGTCCGTGAGCTTTTCTAATGCCCATTTAAACCTGATGATGTTCTCTCTTCCACAGCTTTCTGTGGCAGCAAGTCCCACTACTTGATCCATCATTTAGAATGAAGTAAACTACTATTTTTTTTTTTTTAATATCTTGTGGTAAGTCAATCTCTTACCAGCTTTATTGAGCACCATTTGTTCTAGAGTTACACGGTTTGGTACGTGCCATTTATGTATTTACTTTATCCCCTACTTCTATGATTCTTTTGTAAAGCTCAGGCATGTCCTACATCCATTGTCAGTGTCATAGGTTTCTGGACGCTCTTCTGCTCTTTGCCCTGTTGCTTCTGACTATCCCCAAATCTTTTCCTTGGGAGCAGTTGTTTAAGACACACACAGCCTCTGGCTGCTTCATCCACGGGCTGTGGCTCAAAGCAGCCTTTGAGCACGTGCAAATTCAGTCTGTGCTGAATCTTCCTGCAGCCTCAGTGCAAAGTCTAGTTGCAGACGCCGAAGCAGCTTCCAGAGGGTTTTGTACCCTAGTATTTCTGCAGCAAAGTACAGTGGCTTAAACGTTTTGTCCTTTCTTACTATTATTTTTTTTTTTCCTTCAGGGGAAGTCCATGTTTCCGTCATCTCTTACTGAATCCTATGGGACAAAAATAATTTTTCCCCCACCCGCTACTTAGCTAAGTGTAGTTTCAGTTCTTTTCAGACAAGTGGCATGTGCTGTGCTACTTACTTTTTATATAGCAGCAGAGCGCTCTGTTAAGAATGCCTGTTTTCCTCAAAGTGCAGTAACTAGCTCAAGTTAAATTGGGATCAACAGATTAAGAAGTAGTTATAATGTATATATGTATGGAAGAAAAAAGAAAAGGTACTTTTTGGATTTGGCAAAACTTTAATCTCTGATCCTGCAGTGTGTGCATATAGTGCCACTGCCTTTCAGGGGCTCTGTGCAGGAGTCTATCAATAAAGATTTAATTGCAAGATTGGGAAAGTTGCTGGAGGATATATACTTTTGAATAAGACTGACAGCTGACTTTATTAGCTTTCTCTCTGTTCCTCGCTCTGTGACTACACTGATCAATTCCTTTCAGGTTTTTTAACGTGATAATATTTATATGAGCTTCTCTTAGTGCCTATGTAGACTAAAAAACCCCATGTTTAAGGTTATTGGCTTCCTTGAGGAACGTTGTCGGTGTTCTTGCTTATATATTTCACATAGCATGCCCCATGCCCTGTATCTTTCTGCAAATGCTGTTCTGGCCTTGGCACAGTCAAGTTAAGTACAAAAACAAGACTTAAAATTGCAAGTTAAATCCCAAAATAAGACTACGGACACAAGACTAAATCTGGGATTGTAGTGGCTGGGAAGGGCAGAGTATTTTCCTTATGGAAAGCTGACCGAGGAGCCCTGGGAAGTGCTGTGTGTTTCCTGTGCTTTACTTTGGAAATGCTCTGCAGAGCTCGCTCTCTTTGGCCTCTTGCTTCATAACCTTCAGGAAAGAAACGTTGCTGCCTTGTGCGCAGCAGGAGGGGGCATTGGTCAGCAAAAGAACCCTATAAATATAGTGGTAGTAGCTGCAGAGAAGGTGGTGCGTAGCACAGAGAAATGGCCAGCAGCGCCCACGTGATCCCATCTCTGCAGGGTTCACTGTGCGTTGGGAGAGTTTCACCCCATCCAGTGCGCCACCAAACACAAGCCTTGATGAACTGCTAAGAGAAATCTCTGCGGAGACCCTTCTGTCAGCTTCGTTCTGCGTGTGAGATGCAGTTAGTTAAGGTGCCTTTGACTATTTCTGCTCATGGTAGTAGAGGAGGCCACCTCTCAAGTGCATGGGTCACAACTCTCCAGCATGTTGGGCACCTCACTGTAGCATTTTCTTTTCCTTCACACTGTCACTGGATAATACTGAAGTGTACATCAGGGTTTGCTTTATCAAAGGTGTCCAAAAAGATCATTTTGTTTCTCATTACACTAAAAACATGATTATAGTTCCCTGTTTCCATTTCCAGGTTAGGCACAGCGAGCAAAACCATGAACTTTTCCGATTTAGGACTAATGCATCATGAAGGGTTGTGTTTAGTCATTAGCTTCAAATGGGCCTAGGGTGGCTCCTTCCATGCGTTGGGGGAGATTGGGAAGAGTGATTACAAGTGGGTTAGGTGCTCTGCACTTAATGATTAGTTAGGTTATTAGTTGTATTTAAGTCAGTAACAGTGTGCAGTGCCTGCAACCATTCTGTAGGCTGCACAAGTACATAAAAAACTGTTTCAGTAATTCATAATGTAGTAATGGATTTCGGTAATGGATCTTTATAAGTTAAAAACTGCTGTTTTCCGTCCTCCTCGTGCAGCTAGATGTACACTAAGGAAAGTGTCTGGTTCGTGCTCTGTGCTGAGAAGGGCATCACGGGGCATTTTATTTGGCTGCGGTGACTTAAAGGTGCCCTTCTAGCTCCCCAAACGTTGCAGGACTTGTCATTTTTTCTCAAGGGGCTTTGTAGATCTGGGAGGGAAGGCTTCTTCCCTCGCACGAGGAAGCTGCATCTTGCCTGTGCAGTTTGGGGGCTCCCTCCTCGCATGTTTTTCCTTTGCTGTTTTGGGCCTTTGGGATAAAATAATTTGATGAGATGGTAATAGGTACTCTAGTCACATGCCTTTTATTTACTACATGCTTTCTAAATACGACCTCTACATGCACTCCTTTGCGTGCTGTATAACATGCATGAAGTGCAACATATGTGAAACTGAACGTATACTGAATATACCCCATTGAGAAGAGCTCGTTTGGTACTTCAGGGTGGCTTTTCTAGGAACAGCAGCCTTCACAGGTTGGGGCGAGAGTAGCAGAGTAGCTGCAGAATATGTGCAGGAGATTGTACTGGAAGCTGCTTGGGTAAGAAAGGACGTGGTTGTTAACTGCTCCATAGTGGTGGGAAACCAGGAAGTCCTCCTAGGGCCGATGAGAGCACTGCCTAGGGCATTAGTAGTGCCAGAATTTACCTTAAACTAATCTAGTATGTTTGGAAAAGCTCTGAAGAGTCCTGCAGACCTTGGGAAAGGCTGCCTGGTGGTGCCTGCAAAAGCTGCGGGCACCTCTCCAGGTGTGGAAGCTGCTCTCCAGGTGTGGAAGCTGCTCTCCAGGTGTGGAAGCTGCTCCCAGGTGTGGAAGCTGCTCCCAGGTGTGCTGGAGGCACCTGGGGACGAGCGCTGTCCATGCACTGCCCTGCAAAAGGTGCCTTTTAACAGGCAGGGACAATCATTTCTGCACACAAAGGTGCTGCAAGAAGAGCATCCCTGCAGTGACACGGGCTAATGGTGCATTGCCTTCAACTTGACAGAGAGCAAGTGATGGAATTTGCTGCTTGACCTTTTTCCCCCCATTTCCTCCTGGTGGTTTGCAGTGAGCCGCAGGTGAGGTGGCCGCCTCTGGCCATTTCCTCTAGTGAGCAGTGTGGTCCTGTCCACTCTCTCAACTGACTGACCTTTTCTTTCGTATTTTCCACAGACAATCTGCTTCCTCTTGATTCGTCATCATTCCAGAATACTGGTGTCCTTGGGGCTCTCTCTTAACATTGATATGGTACAGGAGATTTAAAATCAGGTATGGTTTTGGCTCGCTCCTTCCCACCAAAATGAAACGTGCGCTCTAGAACTAAACGTGCTTTATTATTTTTTATTTCCTTGTGTGCTTTATTTTAATATTTTGGTTCTTTTCAGCTGATGTTCGCAAGGAATAGAGTCACGTGATGTATGAAGGCAAACACATACACTTCTCTGAGGTTGACAATAAGCCCCTGTGCTCGTATAGCCCCAAACTGTGCAAGCAGCGGCGACTCAACGGCTACGCCTTCTGTATCAGACACGTTCTGGAGGACAAGACTGCCCCCTTCAAGCAATGTGAATATGTGGCCAAGTACAACAGCCAGCGCTGCACCAACCCCATCCCCAAATCTGAGGACCGAAGGTGAGTTGTGGTGGTACCCCTGGAAGGAGGGAGGTGGTTGGGACACTGGCCTGCGTTTCCCTCTGCAGTGAGGAACGAGCTGGCCCGAGTGGGCTGGGTTCCAGGATGTTTCTTTGAGGGTTTTGTTTTAAGATTAATCAGCTGTGTTTTGTTTTCCGGGGGAGTTGGGTACCCCGAAAGGAGGCAGCAGCTCGCTCTCAGGGAGCTTTTCACGAGTTCCTTGCTTTTCTGCAGCGCTCTGTAACCTGTGGATCAAACCTGCTGCAGGTACCTGCTGCTCCGTTAGTTTTCCCTGTCCCTCGTCGTGCTGCCCCTCCACATGCCTGCCTGCTGGGCCAGCTGTGCCAAAGGGGCATTTCTGTCTACATCTGCAGGCCACACGGTTGGAAGCGCCTTCCCTCCGAGCTCGGGGAGCAGTGGCACGTAGGGATGGAGCTGGAGTTTCAATGCAGTGGTTTTGCTGGTGTATCGCTGGAATAAAGTAAATATTACTGGGCAGCAGATCAGCCAGCTAGGAAGGTGCTGTTGCCTTCCTTTCTTCTTTGCTGCTGCCTCTCCCCACCTCTTCCCTGCCCAAATGAAGATGCCTGAGGTGGCTGGGTTATTAAATGCGTCGTAAGAGATTGTACTTGAAGCCTTTGGAGAGCTGGGAATTCAAACCAGATTTTCTCAATTCCAGCCCGTGCCGTGACCGCGGGGTGGTTCTTCCTTGCTCTGGAAGGCCGTGTGAGCACCGGCTGCATTGGTGCTGGGGTGATAGAGCAGAATTTGGCTGATCCTGCCTGCCAGGCATATCTAACTTTAATTTCTCAGGGTCACCACTCGGTTTTGTCCGCAGTGCCGTGTTTGATTAATGTGTTTAACTGCGTGCGGCTTGTTCTGCTACAAACCATAACTTCTTTTCCAACCTAAAATATAAACAGAGTGTGCCCCCCAAAGAATCAAACCCCTCTGCACTGACCTTTCACATTATTAGCTGCCATCCACTAACCTTTCACATTATTAGCAGCGTTCCCACTGTGCCCTACATCTAACTTCCTTCTCGGCTCGCAGCTCCCTCCCTCGTCTGAAACAACAGTTGGACTGTGCTCCAAATTAACTTGCACTTCACCTGCCATTGCAGCCGAGGAGACTGATGAAGTGAGGAGAAGAACACGAATGTTTGTCAAAAGCTGCAGGGCAAATGCTCAAATGGCACGAGATGAATAACTTGAAGCCGTAGTTTGACAGTCAGTGGCTGTTCCTCGCTGCGGTGTGAGAACAGAAATAAGCTAGCAAGAAATGATCACAGAAATTGGTGGAGCAAATGATGTGCTGTAATTTCTGATGCAGGTGCTGGCTGAGGCGGAGTTGCTGGTTACACAGTGGTCATAATTAAATACAGTAGAGATAATGATACTTAATGACATTGCTTAGATCTCACGTGTTTCCATAGAATCTGATATTTTTCTTTACACCTTGAATTGAGTTCACACTTTAACTTGAGAAAAAATCAAACTGGATATACTGAAGTGTGGTCATGACATCTGCTGTATGTTATATTAGAATAATTCGGCTGCGCGTTGGGTGTCGCATTACACCCCTTGGAGGGGACAGCAGGTGTCTGAAGGAGAGAATAAACTTTTAATTTCAAATTAGAGGACGTGATAGTTTGAAAGAATAATTTAAAAGCCTGCCTCAGGAGAGAGCTTAGTTTTAACAATAACATTGAATGAATGCTGGTGATGAGCCCTCTGCCTGCTCTGAACATTTTGTTGTTTTGTTTTGGCACCCAAGCCTGTATCTGTTTCTTAAGAGGCTTTTTTTTCACACTCACTTCAATACAAAGATGTTTGCTATGTCTCATGTCTTCACTTGTAGCTCTCAATTTTCTGTGAGCAAAGTTGCCATCAGATGGTCATTTGAGGCATGTCGGTTTAGGCATGTGACTCTATGTGATCAGAAGCAGGCTGTGTGACAGCCCTCTCCTAAATACTTCTGGAGATTATGGAAAAATAAAATGTCTTAACAGGCTATACACGTTATCTGCCCAAGGCCTCGTAATCTGTCCATGGATAATTAAAAAAAAAATCCATTGACTCCCTACAAATGATGGGATGCCATCAGCCACAAAACTGGTTAATATGCTGTTATGTTATTAAATTTCTTATTAACCATTAACAATCTTCAAATTAATATTTTAATAGCTCGTAGCTTCATTACGTTATCTGAAGTGTAGTGTCTCTATTCACTGTTGTGCTTTTTAAAGAATATAGGCTGGATAGAGATGTGGCCTTCCTCTTCACTGAGTCTTCTGATTCTTTCTTGTCCAAATACACAAATAGATAATGAAGTTTAATTCAGTTTTTAATGATGCTGTTGTTATAATCGAGCTAGATTATACACCATTTTACTGCTTCTCTTTCCAGTTTGCAAATCCTATGCTGATACACAGGACACTCTCTGGTTTAATTAGATCTTCCTCTACATAAGTGTCAGAACTCAACACTAGCTGTGAAGCAGAGCTTAGGTGTAGGTGGGAAGCCTCATCTTGCCCTGCTGGTGATGTGGAAAATTGTCCAGCTGAAGCTTTTGGATCCCATCAGCTCAGAGCCGCGTGAAAGGGCCTGGGCTATTCCAGTCGGGAAGCTGTTTAATCTCTCTTTTATGGAGCATAAGCTACTAATGTCCTCCCGTGCGTTGCCTCCGCTCCCGAGAGCCTCTTGCTTCCAGCAGAGGCAGCTGGTGTCTGCACCAGGGTCTGCAGCACCAGGGTCACCAGGACCAGCCAAAGAGCCCCAGTGCAACCTCAAGCCCTGGGAGATGTGGGGCACGGGGGGCAGCAGGAGGCTGGCAAGGCTGAGCTTGGGTTGGTAATTCCCTACACGGAGAAGGCTCAAGTGCTTTTCCTGGGATCTTCTTGCTCCTCCTCATCTAGTGCCGGGGTGCTTCCAGCCTCCTCTGTGTTGGCGGGCAGGAGTCAATATTCAGAGCATAGGTTTGTCTGCAGTGATCCGTGTTTCCACTGTATTGTAGCCTGGCATCCATGGATTTGCATCCAGAGGTGCTGCCCGTGTGAGATATCGTTAGTGTTCAGTGTTGCAATCCTGCCACTCTTAAGAGCCAAAGGAAAAAACAAACATGATTATGTTCAAGTTTTGTATGTTTGCTTTTTCATTCGGTCATACTAAAAGCTCTGTTCTAACCGATGTCGGTCTTATTTTATCAGAATTAGTAATGTGCTTAATTTGAATTATTCAATTAGTCGTATTGACTTTCATGGAAGCTTTCTTGAGCCCTGGTTATAATGTTTAATTTTTAAAAACGTGTCTCTCAGTATGTATGTGTGTTAAGGAATACCTTCATGGGTATAGCCCTACCAAGGAATAATTCCCTGCTTCTTGATGTAGATGTCACCCTCTCCTCAAATCCCTGCCTTCATTTCTAAGCTTCAGGCCTGTGATTCTGCAAGGCACAAGTCTCATGGCTGGAAGGATGATGCAGAGGCAGGAGAGTCTGCCTATATGAAATCAGGAAAAGGAGTAGATCATATAGTTCTGTCACCTGCTTGCTTTATTCAACCAAGATTAATTGCTTGCCTTTAAATACATTATCTGGATCTCAAGTTGTCACTCCTTTTATCTCCCTTTATGCTTTTAATTTGCAAGACACACTTTCTGTGATTTCTCTTTCTGTTCTTACTAGCATGATTTAAAAGCTTTTTCTTTATTATTATTATTTTAGAAGAGTTTGAAATGTGTTTTTGCGACTTGCTTGTGTGCATCTAACATTGTGTAAAAGCTTTATAGCAGCAGGGAATTTCCTTTAAACTAGATTTTTATATGACGGCTATTCAGCTCATCTTTTGGATATGATATGTTAAGCAATTAGAACTTAACATTTAAGCTGCTTGCTCATCAAAGGCCAGCAGTGGCCCTTCTCAGCAGGTATCTCTATAGCGAGATTGTCCCTATAAGAATCTCCTTCCAACAGGTCGTGTTAAGAAGGTGCTTTGTGGGAAATGTTAACTGTTTCCAGCCAAGGGAAAGGAGGAGGTTGTCAGTGTATTTTTCCTTCGGGAGCTTTTGAAATGGTTCTGTATGATCAGCGTTAATGGCTTGAGTTCCTGTGCTTCGTGAGTCAGGTGGTCCCGTTTGTTTTGTTTCCTTTGTTTTGTGAATATTTATCCTGTTCGTAAATATTTTGAACGGCAGCGCGTGAATTTCCTATGAGTAACGTGTGAGGAGTTTTATGTCTGGAGATTGCAAATTGTGAATGTTTCTGCTTTCTGTTAGAGCCTGGGAACACAATGATTACCTGTTGTATTAGATCATGTCCTCTTTTTATAAAACCTCTTGTGTTTTGATCTAATTTCTAGTGATATGGTCGCATGTAGGTTTCCCTTTTGTGATACCCATTTTCTGCAGACTCCTGCTTACAAGAACTGACTTAAGAACCTACTGTTCTTACTTTTCAAAGGTACTGCAACAGCCACCTGCAGGTACTTGGCTTCATCCCGAAAAAGGAGAGGAAGAAGAAGAATGATCCCATAGAGGAGGTAAAGGTGAGGCACCAGATGGATGCTATGGCCTTCAGTCTGACCGTGCCCACGCTGGCCTTGAAGATGCCCAATGGACTGGACGGGATGTCCCTCTCCCCGCCGGGGGCCAGGCTTCCTCTCCACTACCTGGAGGCAGATTTAGAAGACCCCTTTGCTTTCAACGAGGAGGATGACGACCTAAAGAAAGGGGCAACGGTGAGGAAAAAGTTGCAGAGCAAGTTGGCTCAAAACCGGCAGCGCCAGAGAGAGACAGAGATTTTAAAAGTTCGCCAAGAGCACTTTAGCCCCCTTCCTGCACCTTTGCAGCAGCAGCAGCCCCTGCAGCAGCAGCAGCAGCAGCAGCACTCCCATCTGCCTCCCTCATCAGCTTCGCTAAAGCCGGCAGGGCTACCGCAGGGCATCGTCTGCAAGTCACCTCAACCTCCCAACACCAGCCTACCAATGCAGGGAGTGGCGCCCACCACACACACTATAGCACAAGCCAGGCAGTTGTCTAGCAAGAGACCTCTGCCTCTCCTGCCACCCGCCAGGGCTCCTGTCACGGACCCGCCGAGGACGGACCGGGTCCTCATGAAAGCCACAGCCTTCTCTCCGCACTCGTCCTGCATGAGCCGGCTACAGAGACTGGTGAAACTGTGCACTCGAAAACAGCAGCTGGACACTGATCTGTTTCCACACTTAGGTGGGTAGATGGCAAACGCGCTGCCTGTCCCCGCTCCTTTCGTTGCTTCCTTTCAGGACAGGGAGATAGGATCTTACTCGTCCTCTCCTGCATGGCTCTTTCCAGCTAACCGCAGACTGGGTAACTGCTGCTTTCTTTATCCCTCTTCTCTATCAAAGGCAGGCCTAGATCCACCACGCAGTGATATATAGTGTTTTTTGTTGCATATTCATCTTAACGTGTTGCTGACCATTTGAGAAGTCAGACTCGAGTGGTGGAAACGCTGCTCGTGTGACGCACGCGTCGTACAGAAGGTTTGTCACCCGCGTGGTAAAGACACCATCACCCGCACCCATGAGAGCGGGCAAGGCTAGACTGGGTATCTAGTAGATGACAAGTGTGGATTGCAAAGTGAGTCCAAGCTGAAATGGGAGATTTGGCTCGTCATTCTGTGCTTATCCACACTGCCAGGTGACTTGATTAGGAAGTTTGGAAAAGGAAGATTTTTCCAGGGTGGGTCTGTCCATGTACAGACAGAGTGAGCAAAAGAATGGCACTCAGTGTCATTACATAAATTAATTAGAGAGGCAGAGCCTTGTCCACATATCAGTCCAGAAACAGCTTCCTCCTTCCTTACTATTTAGAAACTATAATAATCAATTATTGCTACTCAAGCAATAAATATGGTAGGTAAATAAATACTACTGACCCTATGGCTTATTTGTCTAATTACAAATATATTCTTAGAAACGTACGTGTCTTGTTCCTCACATATTCCAGATCTGTCTTATTTTTCTGCTTAGTTTTAGATTTTAATTTTCCAGCAGGCAGAATGCTGAGCAGAAAGTTAGGGGAACAGAAGGCAGCATGGTGTGTTAGGACAGGAATGCTGGGTTTTAATTTCTTCTTTTTTAGGAGACCTCAAATAAATCTGGAAGTTCTTAGCACACCATCTTATTTAATCACAGGCATCTGTAATTTTTGTTATTTCAATTAATTCTTTTTTCAAATGTGCTATTAAAATGTGCCCTTTGGCACTCGGGGTAATTTGACTGTTTGTTCAGAAGATAATTAGCATCCCACAGCACATCTCAGAAGGACATGGTTCTGCCAAAATCCTCTTTGGGCCTATATATCATGCAGTTTTTCTAAGGAATTGCAACTCCAGAGTGACTCTCCGAGTGTCACAGACCCAAATAGGTTAGAAAGTGACCTGCCTTTTGAGAGGTCACTTCCTTTGTTGAATCTTTTATATTCTCAGGTGGTGCGTGCTCTGAATAGTAAATGTTTCCCAAAGTTGGCATAGCTGAGAAAAATGACTAGACCTATTAATGTACAATTATACGAATACTAGAATATATTTTAAAAGGATTGTATGCACTTAGAATATTTTATAATTAGCATATTAGCAGCATTCACTTAATAATTATGTCAGAAATTGTTTATATATGATATATGATATATGTAGAAAGTGTTATTTATTCATAACGTGGCTTAACATTAAAGCCTTGTTATGCTGGTTGAGAAAAATTTAGGATTTCTGTTTCTACAGTAGAGTAGTACTAGAGAGAACTTCACAGAATCTTGAAAAAGACACTCTCAGTTTTAAGCTGTGTAATACCGTATTCATGGAACTGCAGTCTTCAGTGTGAGTAGAAATGAATCTAGATTCATTTTATTTTTTTTATTTCTCCCGTGCCCATTTGAAGAGAACCTCCCACCCCAACTTTGGTCTTTATTGTATGAACATCTTTATCCAATGGTTAAGTTATTTTTTCTTTCCATTATAGAAGTGGGGACAGTGAAAAATATTTAAGTAGAAAGTGTATTTTTGGCATTTTATCAAATGACTTGTGCATTTGAACTAAATTAACGTACCTTAAAGCTATGTACTAAGAATTGTATTTTCAGATTGTTAATGCTACTCATGGAGAACAGGATTTCTGATGGTCCTTAGTGTTTTAAGTGTTATTCCTAAATCATGTAGTGTCCCTAATAACTGTATTCCAAATTAATGTTTGTTTCTAATCTTTAAAGGTAAGGAGAGGAGGGAAAAAAAAAAAAAAAAGCCTATAAATGTGGCTGCATTTGGGTTTTCCCCTTGCACAGGAATGGGAAGAGCACCCCTGGAGTGGGAGGGAGAGTAGGAAGAGCTGCAGAGAATGAAACCTTTGCTGAAATGTTCCACCTGAGAGCTTCTTGGACCCGCTTTCTAGCTGTCCTGTTTAGTCTGAATATCTGAGGCAGCTGATTCTACTGTGCTGTTATTAAGGAAGAGCTTAATTGCTTAATGCAAGCACTTGACTGCTTGCATCTCTCTTCTTAGTGCTCTTCTCATGCTAGTTTATGCATTTGACCACCAATTATAAAGATAGAGCAGAGTGATATCCTGTGTAGCTGCATAACTATCTCTGTCCATGCTGCTCTGTCTTATGGTTTTCCTATTCTCCATGTGTTTGGCAGCAGGAGCACAGGGGTTATAATGTGAACAAAAATGAAAGTGGAATTATGTGACCTATTTAGATCATATAGTGTTAAAAATTACCAGGCAGTCAGCTCTTCATGGCAGGGACCTCTCTCTTACCTCATCTTTAAAGCCTTCGTATTTTCTGTAGGTAAGAAAGATGATGGTTTTCCTTTCATTGATTATGGATAAAGAGGCCAATGAAAATGTTAAAAAGGAAAACAGAGGAAAAAAGAAAAAAAGGGCAGTGCAGACTATTTGCACACAATAAGGAAACTATTACCATAACTTTTCCTGAGTAAGTGAGAGTGTTAAAGGATTTAATCAAACATAATTATGCTTGCAACTACACCACACAGGCTTAGATCTATGTGAGATGAATAGACTTTCATCCAGCTTTCGTGTTTTCCATTCCCTCAGGGCTGGACTGGTCTGAAGACAGTGGAGAAGAGTTGGAGGATTCGGAGCAAACCTCCCCTTACCAGATTGCGTGGTCTATCCGAGAGACCCTCGGCTACGAAAGACACGAGTGAGTACAATTCTTTAGTGTTTGCACAGGATTTGATGCCATAAATCATTTAAATGCAGGCTTTGCTTCAAGTGGAGTCAGTGGAAATGAAGCACTTGTTTAAGCACTTTATTGAAACGAAAGATTGTTTGAGCTCCTTTGTCTGTAGGAGCTCTGAGGCAGCTTTCTGCCTTCTGTCCCAGCTTCCTCCTAACGTGGAGGCCTTTGTCAGAAGGATGCATCAGGAAAGAATTTAAGCTTCTTTGCCTAAATTTGAGCTTAGTGGGATTCGTTCATGAACTTGGTACCTAGCTGGATAGTGAGTGATACTTCCTGAATGGGAAAGAAATGAAGGGAGTTGCTCTTGTCATTCTTTACTACCCTTTGTGAGTAAGCTCATTAGTAACCTTACTGCCTTTTATTCCTTAATCTTTATGATAAATCTGCTGGATGTTTGTTTTAATGCGTGCCTTTCTTTTTCTTTAAGACTGTGGTATTTCTTTTAACTCTTCTTAGTTATTAAATAAATAAGCCTTCTTAGCTACTGAGTGTTGACCTCTGTCAGAAGTTGGGAGCACTGGAGTGAAGTGTTCAGGTTGAAGGGGATGGACACAGGGGTATCTGCTGCTGGTGCAGAAAGGCTTGCAGCCTCTGTCTGTGTATATGCACATGTCTGTATAGATGTGTATAAACACATAGAGATATCTGGTATCAGTGTGTATATATATATAAAAATATACACATCAACACACACACATATATATAAATTTATATATACTGATAAGCCATTAATCTGTGAACTCACATCTGGGTGTGTTAATATGTGTCCATATTAATGTAAATGTTAAGATACAAAGCACAGTATTTCAACAACCTCGAAGTTTAAGCCACAAGAAAAGATGTCGAGGCATGTTTATCATAAAGGGAAGTTTTGGGGTCTCAGTAAGGTTTGCTTGTGGTTTCTTTCACTCTGCAACTAGACTTTTTGATACTACAGAAAGGCTCGTATTTGCATAATCTTTAAATACCACAGAATAACAAATTGAAATTCTGAAACTTGCCAGAACTTCCCATCTTTAAAGGTTGTCTACAATATCTGAAAGACTTCAGTAAATCAAAGCTTAGTGGTAACATGCAAACATTTACTTTCCTTTTTAAAAGGGTGTTTGTTTTTGTCAGCTTTGAAAGACCATTGTTTTTAGGCAGTCAGTCAGAGTAGTGAACTTTCATGAACATTGGTTTAACTTAAAAGATAACTTTTAAGCAAAATGTTTTGGCAGAGTAGAGAGAATTGCTCTTTCTTCTGCACGTGATAGGAAAATGTGAAGAAGTCTTTAGTACATCTTTAAAATAGCACATAATTCTGAAAGCAGATGATATGCCTATGAAATAACTTCCCTTGCACTCTTCTCTCCTTGACATTTGATCTGGTTCTTCCATAGATCCCCATCTCTTTGTCAAGTTCTAAAGGTCACCTCTGGGTGCTGTGTCTTCTGTTTGCTTTAACTTTCTTTGAATTCTTCCTTCTCTTTTCACATATTGAGAGAAAATACTACCCTGCTTTGACATTTTCTTTTCCATTCTAACATTTCATGCACTTCAGTTAGATGCAGTGTTCCCTGATTGTGATGGATACATTTTTGTATGGCACTGGCAGATCTTATGTTTCCATCCCTCTGCCTACCCTTAACTCTTTAGCCTTCTACCTCCCTTGCCTTAAGAAAAATTAAAAAGGAAGATATTATTGTCTTAGGTCTCTCTGAGTAAATATGTTTGGATGATCTTGATGGCCTGATGTTAGTTTGTAGCTCTTTGTAAAAAGAAATCAGTAAATCTACAAATTTGTTTAAGTAACTCGCCCTAAATTGGGTAACAAAATATCTAATACAGCTGAGCCCATCCATTTGTGTGTCTATATATACATCCACTTCTTTTCCATTAATGTATTTTATATATACGCTTTTCTAATCAGGCAGTTTGTTCAAGTAGGCATTTTTCTTAAGTGATCTGAGAAATACATTTTCTTTTCATCTTCACAGTGCAAATATTTTGAGCATTAAATATGTTAACTACTTCTAGCATGTTGCGATTTCTGCTTATCGTTTAATTGTGGAGGTTAATTACGTGCAGTTTGTGCTTCTTGCTGATCATCTCTGATCTGTTTTAACAGACAAAATACATAGATGTGGTTGACTTTCTGTAAAACTTGATGAAAAGGTGCCTCTGTGCCCAGACACTGTTTGCTCACGGGGAGTTTTTGTGGGCAGTCTTGGAGGAGATGGGTGCCTCTTGGGAATAACCTCTTTGATTTAGCCAGAATGTAAATGGAATAAGATTTTCCAGAAAGGAAAGTAGGCATTAGCTGGAATTTTACTAGTAATTTTAGTAGATAGCATTGGAATTGCCATTTGGGGATAGGTGTCACGTTGAGGTCTTGCAGAGGACTGTTTAGTGGCCTGATAGACCTGTGTTTTTACCAAATCCCAGTGATGTTTCACTGTTTCAGGATTTCTGCTTTATTTTTTGAACATCTTGACATGCTTTTGATGGTCTTGATTTGTTTGGGATGAGCAGAGGGATGGGAAAAAGCTTTCATAAGTAAATAGAGAATCTGATCAGCCCTTCCTCTGGTTATGGCTTCAGGCTGGTCTCCTCCTTCCCTCGGTTCTTTTCCTTGTGCTATAACTGAGCTTCAGCTCCATTACTGTTTTTAGTATGAGAAAATCTCCTTACAAAATAATTACTGGTAATTTAGAAAGAAAAGGGGGAATTTATCCCTCAGAAAAAAATCAGTGCCATGATGGGAACTGGACTGGTGTTGCCTCCTTCACCAGTTTTGCTGTTGACTGCCTTGAAATGGGGTTTCAATCCAGACTTATTGACTGTAAGAGTTGTGGGGTCATGTTTGCCCAGTAAAATTTATGGGATACATTCTGGTCCCATTATTAAAGTTGTAAGCATTTCATTGGTATAAATATGAGACTTAATATATATATATATATAAATAAAATAAATAGATATAACTAGGGAGCGCAAGAGAGTGCAGGGCTTGGAGCCAGGTGTGTGAGGGTGCATTTTGGTTTAGGAAGGAGGCACTGCCTGGCAAGGCCAGAGGAACCAGGAAAGGTCACTGGTTTTTGGTACTTGTAACAATTTGACCATTTTCTCCAGTGTGACCTTTTTTCAGTAAATTTCCACTGCATAGTCCCCCACTCCTGTCCTCTCCACTAATTGCACTTTGATTTAAGAGTTTGCCTCATTTGCCGAGACATTTACAGTAAATAAAGGTTAACAGTATAGATTTTTTTTTTTTTGAGCAGCAGGCTGCAGACATTTAAATATGTCAAGCCCAATGATAAATTGATGTAATCTCTAATAATGACATACTAAGAAGGGTAAGTACCTTGAGGAGTTCAAAAGGGATCCTGCTCATACAACTTGGGAAGCACCGGAGCATCCCTGCCCGATTTCAGCCTTTGGATCTTTGTGGGGCTGGGCAATGGGTGCCACCTGCATGATCATATCAAAATGCCAAAGTAGCCTCCTTAGAGAAAGAAATAAAGCCCATCTGTGCTTCATTTCCCTCCTTCAGGTCCGACGACGACAATGCAGACGACAGGAGTTCCAGGGTGACCAGACTTTGCACTTACTTTCAGCAAAAATACAAGCACCTGTGCCGCCTGGAGCGGGCAGAATCCCGTCAGAAGAAGTGCCGGCACGCGCTGCGGAAAGCGCTGCTGCAGGCGGCCAGCCGGGAGCCGGAGCGCGCGGGGCAGCTCCTCCAGGAGCTCCGACGGGCCGCGTGCGCCCGCGCCAGGTGAGACCGCTCTGTGCATCCGCCACGGTGCGCACAGGATGGGGATGCGAGGCGGCAGTCCCGCAGGGAGAATCCTGGACGCTGGCATGGGTGTCCGCAGAGCCACCGTGGTGTGTCAGTGCCTGCCGGGAGGGCACCATAAATACAGTGTGCCGTGTTTTCCATGAAGACAGGCGTTTTTCACACTGTTGAATGTGGCAAAACAGGGATTACCTGTTCAGCAGTACCCGGGCCTCATTTCATAGAAGCCATATGAATGATGAGTTTGTGTCCCATTGCAATTAATTTTTCATAATTAATCTATGTGTTGTGTCCGACTTCCAATGCCAGGCGCTAAAGTCCTGTTCCTTAAAAAATGTGTGGCCTGGCCTGCAATTCTCCACTGCAATTCAGGCTTCTGTTTTCCGAAAACTCTAAAAAAGAAGGGGAAAAAGTCTGTACCTCCTCTTAGTTCTCTCCCAGCTAATCAAACTTACGCTTTTTGTTAGATTTAACTCAATCTAACATGAAAAGAAACTCAGCAAGAGAATAAATTCCTTCCAACAGCTCTGAAGGTTACCTTCTGTGGGAATTCTTTCCAGATAATGTCAACATCCCGCCAGCTCTTGACATACTGAGCATTGGCTGATTCATATTTATAAGGACGCAGAGCAAGTCCAGGCCCTGGCGTTATGTCTGGGATACCAAGAGCAGCTTCCTTCTGCTGTTCTAGTTTTGCTTTACAGCACGTGTGACCTTGGGAGAAGAGGAGGACCGGGAAGGCTGGAACAGGGGGTGCAAATTTAGTCTGTTTCTGGGGTGCTTTTGTTGCTGACATTCGAAGGGCAGTAGAGTGATGTTGAAAGAGCTGCCTAGATGTGCTTAGAAGAGCTACGTTACTAGTTTATCCAAATGCACAAAAGTCTCCATACTGAAACTACAGCAAAAGCCTTGCCCGAATTAGTAAGCTCTTGCTGGGTTTTTCATTATTAGGGATTTTATGTGCAAAAGGATTAAATTGTTCTGGGTAGACCTGCAAAGCCGGGTAGGCCTGTCGCCACTACCCTGCTTAAGTTTAAGCATGGTCTTTTGAGTTCCAAAGCGTATCATGGGGCAACATTACTAACCAAAACTTTGCTCAGCCAAAGTGCAGTTGATGACAGTAATGGCAGAAGGAAAACAGAAAGCTTTTTGCCAACCTAGAAAGCAAGATGAGGTGACACTGAGCCCCGGGATCGCCAGCCTTGTCTACGCCAAGGTGACGGATGCCTCGAGCGCAGGCCGTGCCGCCCGGCGAGCTCTGCGGTGCTTGCAGTGCTCATCCCCGCTGCTGCCTCGCCGCCTGCTTGCCGCTCAGGCTCCGGGCACGTGCTGGTGGATGGCGCTGCAGCACGGTGCCCACGAGGAGCTCTTGGCCACGTGGGGCACCACGCTCAGGCTCTGCCGCGCCAGAGCTGGTTTGTCTGAGCACGGGCTTGCATGTCAGCTCTGCGGGTGCTCGGCATGTCTTGGTTTAGGACAGGCTTGGGAATGCACTTGGCAGCCCGCGTAGGCAGACCCCATGCATCCTGTTCTAAAGGATGGCCTTATTTTAAGGACCACCTGTGAGGACCCTTAACCGCTGAACTCTTTCAGGGGGACATAAAGGTTACGTGGTAGTAACACACAGCACCTCTCATTACAGCTAAGGCCCTGTTATGTTAGATGCTGGAATAAAGAGCAATCCTGTTACTGCAGTTGCACCTTCACCTGTCTTTGACAACTCTTCCGTATCCCTGTTTAGAGTGTGCTAATTCTGTGCACCCGTGTAAATCATGACACACACACGTGTGTTAAAATGTTTCATCGTCCAGTGCCACGTTCAGTAGAGTAGTTGTGCTGGATACCTGCTAGAACTGGGATTTTGACTCCGGACTCTTTTATTCTTTTGTTTCAGCACAAGCCAAGCCAAGCCCAGAGATGCGGAACCAACGACGTGCAGTGGGACTTTGAAGGGTGAACAGTGCACTAACAAGGCCCTTCCATTCACCAGGCACTGTTTTCAGCGTATCCTCTTAACTCCCTCTAGGAGCTGCATTCCAGAGTGGAAACACTTGGGTTTTGTGTGTGTGGGGAGGGAGCAGGTTCGTTTTTTTTGCATTGACAGGTGCAGTATTATAGAGGAAAACCTATTTGCTAGCCTCTCGTTATTTATTTTGCTTTTAATTTTGCTATGCAATATGGATGCAGTAGGCAATGGTGATGAGTAGTTTGTCATCTATGAGTAGTTTAGTAGTAGACTATCTATCATTGTCATGGTCTGTGCTTTCGTAAGTTGTAGTTCATGTCCTAGACACCTCTACAAAAATGAGCCCCTCATTCATGGATGACTTGGTGTCTGTCCCATGGCTTTCAAACAGCTCTTAATAGCATCCAATAAAATAGCTACTTGTGAAGGGGAGAGTGTGGGGAAAGGAGTATCACAGGGCTTAGAAAGATGGCTTAGACTGACTTGAAAGATGGAAAACTGGGATTGTGCATCCTTTGAAGGAGCAAAATAGAACTCCCTGAATCCAGCTTCGACATGAGGAAGGATCCCTAGTGCCAGGGATTTCAAGAAAAATTGGAAAAGATGCAGAATCGACGTGTGAAGGTCGCAGCAAGGAGACAGTGCACTAGATACAAGGTTTGAGTTTGAAGGCTGTAGACAGACCAGCCTCCGGCCTGGAATACTTAAGAGTTTTGCAGGCTTTCTGTTTTAGCTGATAGCCTGTTTCCTTGTGTTGGAGCTTTTCTTGTTGACGTTTTAAGTGACTAGTGCTTAACCATTCTAGTTCTTATCAGAGAGCAGCACCTTTTCAGTCTCTTTAGTGTGCAGATGCCTCACGTCTTTGCTGTGGAGGTGAAGGACCTGTGTACTGAATTTCCTGATGAATTGGCTGTTTGATATGTTGCAGGCCTTGCTGAAGCAGTCTGCAGAACAGTTTGAAGCTACTGTGTTGAGTGCACCCTGCGGTGTGCAGATTTGCTTGGTAGTTCATTTGACTCCTGGTTTATTTTTATTTATTTTTAATTCAAGCTTGTCTTTGTATGTACAGCTGAAGTCAAGGATAGTGATTTTGGCAGTCCTGCCCACAGTTCCACCCTCTATACTTCCTTCTCAATGACAATAGTTTCTCCTAATATGAGCTCTTGGTTCTGGGCCATCCATCCAAATCTTTGCCTTCTGCACCTTTCCATTTTCTCAACATGTTGAGGTTATGTGATCTACCTGAGAACGGGTAGATAGAAGAGGAGCTTCTAATGTTGTTTGGAAAAAAAAAAAACCCACCACAGTGAAATATCTGTTTGATTTGCTCTGAGTCTGGAAACATTTTCACTCCTGCAGGTTATTTTTCTGAAGGAAATCTCAGCAAGCTTACGTTTGGATTTACTTGACCTTTCTGTCTGATTGCACATCTCTTTTTTCAGAGGAGCAGGAAGAATCTTGAAACTTCTTTGTCTGTGCTGTAAAGATAAATGCCAAGAATATACCTTAAACGATGGAAGTAAGAAATACTCTTTCTTTAATGTTTCAGTATGGATTGTCATTAGTCTGTGAGGAAATAGTCTTGTTGACTATATTGCTCCAACTGGTACTATTGATCTATTGATTAAGACTCCAGGAAAGGCTTCTTTTTGCTAAGAACTCATTAGTGAAATAGCTGCTTCCATAAAACCATCTCAATATATAACAAAATCATTAGAGATTCTGCATGAATGCAGTTTTTTCACTTTAAAAGTCAGGTTTGAGCCTTACCTAGCTTTGAACTTGAATAACAAAGTTAAGATACTCATTAAAAGTAGCATCCATGGACAGATAGAGTTGAAGACTCTGATCTTTATCAGGCTGATAAATCAAAAGGCGTTTCTCCATCGTTGTCTCGTGTGTTATTCCTGATGTGGAAATACACAGATATCTTATTGAACCGTTCTCAGCAGCTCTTCTCAAGTTGCACAGCCAAGTTTGCAGATGGTCAGCAGTGCTCTGTGCCAGTTTTTGACATCACACATCAGACACCTCTGTGCGAAGAACATGCCAAAAAAATGGTAAGCACAAAGCCCCAGCTGTAATTATTTCTATGGTTTGGGCTGATGAAGAGTTTTACCCTCAGTCTTTCTGTGCCCTCCTGACTGCTAACTAGCAGTTTTGCAAACTGAAGAGTCCATTTCCTTACACTTTTGTTAAGTGGGTAGAACATGCTCAATTAGTATCAAGTATGTTGTAAAAGTCTCTTACATACACTTTATCATGTCTTCAAAAGTACGTGAAAATATGCTTTACTGGAAGAAGAAATCCGGCTCCTCTCCTAAATCAATAAATAGAAAAGCTTTGCAAGTGATCCTATGGTCAGTTTACTTGGGCCCAATCCTGGCCCTTGGGTCTGAATACAGTATGAGTGTGCTATGTTCAAAACAGTGTTTCTCAAATGTTCTTAGTTCATGGGACACAAACTGTTTTCCAGAGGAAGTGTGATGATGCAGTTCTGACTTATTTAGGACTTATTGCTTTTTACTGATTTTCTTTTTTTTTTTTTTTTAAATGACACTGAAGGATCCCATATTTATTATACCTCAGTTTAGTCTATGTGTACTATGCTATTGGGAAAACAAGTTGCAAAGAAGCAACTTAATAAACATATAAATATGCATCTTTGCATGCAAGTTAGCAGGTGGTTTCTCTTGCATTATGCATGGATTTTTGTAGACTTTTGGAACATCTAATAAGAAAAACAAGGAAAGTCGTATTTATTCTTAGTGTGTTCTCTCTGCTACTGTTCTACCTCACACAGGACAATTTCTTGAGAGGGGACAGCTCCCGTAAAGTTCAGCACCAGCAGCAGAGGAAACCCAGGAAAAAAACAAAGCCGCCCGCACTTACCAAAAAACACAAGAAGAAGAGAAGACGAGGCCCCCGGCGGCCCCAGAAACCCATTCCTCCTGCAGTGCCCCAAGGGAACCTCACCATGCCTGCCAGTGTCTCACTGCCCGTAGAGATGTCCCACATACGGTAAGTGGCAGCCCTGCCCCAGGCTGCTCAGCTGCAGCTGCAGCCCTGGGAAGGAGGACTGTAGAAATGTTGCTGTGATGATCAGCTTCTGGGTAGGGAGGTAGGTCAGGGGTGGGAATAGGTTCCATCTGGCTACTTAGAGAAAAGAAAAACTTAGAGGAGTTAATTTTAGATTTGAGCCGTGGTTGAATTTAATGGAGGTTGCTTTTGATGTCCTATCTCACATATTTAATCTTGTGTATTTAATCAGCAGACTAAGTTTAAGCATCTTAAATTTAGCAAAAGCAATTTTTTTCTAGCTGGTACTTAAAAATATCTATATATGTGGTGGGGAAACATCAATGCGGATGGGTATTTGTTCATACATGCCATTTGGAGGAATTAAAGTTGGATGCTGAGGCTAACAGTACTTTCTGTCCAGGAGCCCCTCCACACCAGAGCTGAGTGCAGATGAGCTGCCTGATGATATCGCCAACGAAATCACAGACATTCCACATGACTTGGAATTGAATCAGGAGGACTTCTCTGATGTCCTGCCGCGGCTGCCTGACGACTTGCAGGATTTTGATTTCTTTGAAGGTACCACTTTATTTTATGCTAAAGTGAACACAGACAGTGTGCTGAAGAAGTGAGTATTTCTGAAACGTGCATTTTGAGGGGCTGCTTGCTTTCCCACAGAGGTAATAACTTCTAGACAAGGGAGCATGCATTTACCCTATTGTTTGTGAGGTCTGAAGAAAAGCAGGCTTCAAGAAGACTGGTGTGTAGCTCTCTGCTCACAATTAGCGCTCTGGAAATCCTAATTGGTTTGGTGTTTCAATAATTCATTTTACTTATTTTTTTTTCTGCCTGTTACTGTTGCAGTTTCATCAAGCGTGCCCTCAGTAATGGCATCTTTCTGCCATCGAGTGGGGCTGGAACCACAGTCAATGTTGATATTTTATCAAAGGAGAAGAGTGTGAAATCTTTAAATGCATTTTTTTGAAACTTGCTTTTGATCAGGACTATGCCTGAATTTCTGGATTCTAGAGCTCAGTACCTATCATAGATATCAAAGCTTAGAACAGACCCGAGGTGGGATATGTGATTTGTTTTGTTTTGTTTTCTTTTCTTTTGTTTTATTTTTGTGATCTGACATGACATCAAATTGAATCTGACTCTAAATGAACCTAAGTTATACCGATTGCTGTGTGATAAGTAGAAGGGGCTTTGTAGACTATTGAAATTATTGCAGCACTGAAGGAAGTCTTACTTGAGCATTTTTACTTTAAGTGTGGGAGGCAACTTCTTTTATGTGGAAGAGGAAAAGAGAGAGAGAGAGAGAGAGAGAGAAAGAGAAAATGAGAATTCCTTTGAAGAAGGTGGTTTAGTTTCTAGTTTTTGCTTCCAGGCTCACTTGGTGAAGAGGGAAGAGAGGGAAGTTTTCTCTGTACCATGAGGTATCCCGCCCTGTAGCTCTGCACTGAACTGTTACCTCCGTGTTCGCAGAGCTCCAGTCTGCGCTCGGAAGAGAGCTCTAACTGCTGGTGTCCCTGTTTCTGCAGGTAAAAATGGAGATCTCCTTCCTACCACAGAAGAGGCTGAAGAACTGGAACGGGCCCTGCAGGCTGTAACTTCTCTCGAGTGCCTAAGTACCATTGGCGTACTGACACAGACAGATGGTGTGCCAGTTCAGGAGCTGTCAGATAGAGGGATAGGGGTGTTTTCCACAGGTGCTGGAGCTCCAGGAATGCAGTCCTTGAGTCGAGAGGTTAACACGGATCTGGGGGAGCTGTTGAATGGGCGTATAGTACATGATAATTTCTCCGGTCTGGAGCTGGATGAGAACTTGCTCCGTTCTGCTACCTTGTCCAACCCTCCTACGCCCCTGGCAGGGCAGATCCAGGGGCAATTCTCAGCCCCAGCCAACGTCGGCCTTACTTCTGCCACTCTGATAAGCCAGAGTGGCCTTGGGGAGAGAGCCTTCCCAGGACAGTTTCATGGACTTCACGATGGCAGCCATGCCTCCCAGAGGCCCCACCCTGCCCAGCTGCTGAGCAAGGCAGATGACCTGATCACCTCACGACAGCAATACAGCAGTGACCATTCACACTCCTCGCCCCATGGAAGCCATTACGATAGTGAGCATGTGCCGTCTCCCTACAGTGACCATATCACCTCCCCTCACACCACATCCTTTTCCGGTGATAACCTGGCAGCTACCTTCTCAGCAGAGATGCCCATGATGGCACAGCACTTGCTCCCAACTCAGCTGGATGTGCCACTTAGCGGGGTGGTCAACCCCAGAACTCACTGGGGGAGCCTCCCTGTCAATCTTGGGGACCCCTCTCCGTTTAGCAACCTTCTCGGTGCAGATGGACACCTCCTGTCCACCTCCCTGTCCACACCACCTACCACCTCGCACTCAGAGACCACGCAGCCCGCCTTCGCCACTGTGACCCCCAACAGCTCCAGCGTGCTGCCGGGGTTGCCGCAGACCAGTTTTAGTGGCATGGCTCCTGCCTCCGCGGAACTCATGGCCTCCACCTCCCCCAAGCAGCAGCTCCCGCAGTTCAGCGCGGCCTTCGGCCACCAGCTGAGCTCCCACAGTGGCATCCCCAAGGACCTGCAGCCCAGCCACAGCTCCATAGCTCCTCCCACGGGCTTCGCAGTGACCGGTGCCACCGCTACCAGTACCAATAACGCATCCGCGCCCTTCACCACCTCCAACTGAGCTTGTCTGCCTGGCTCTGTGCAGGTAGATGGGGGACCTCTGTTTTCTACCTTTCCTTTCTTCTTCCTTTTATTTCTTTTCTGTCCTCCCCTCTTCTTCCCCCTCCTCTCCCTCCTTTTTTTTTTTTTTAAGGGGGTTAAGAAGAAACCCCCTGCTTCAGTACTGACCAGGGTTAGCCCTCTGTGAACCTCGCTGTAGCGTTCACATGTGCTTGTTATGCACCGGTGCTCATTTCTTGCAGGCAGGTTCACCGTTCCCCAACAATTCCGTAAGGATACAGCACACTTACTGGATGAATTGATCTTAGTAAGACCGAGAAATGGGAAGATACCTCAGATTACTGATGCATGTTACTGTTTCCTAGGGTTTGGATCAGTGCTTGCCATCCCATTAGCGTCTGGTAGAGAGTTTTCTAACGGGCAGAAGTCTCTTTCTTGATTTTTTTTTTTTTTTATATATATACTTTTTTTTTTTTCCAAAGGTAGCATCTGACATGGAAAACTTGGCTGCACACATTGATTTGAGAATGGTGCATTGAAGTCCTAAATCAAGACCATGGTTCAAATATGAATCTTGACAGTTTCTTAAAATGGTCTCTTGACCTCCTCTGTGTGTGCGTGTGTGTTTGGGGTGCAGGGAGCAGCAGTTCCTTTCCTTACTTTGTTGAAGAAGTGGGAGTTGTCCCCTCCCAGAACTGGTCATTGTTCTTATTGCATGCTGATTTTTATTTTTGATTATGATGGTTTTTAATTCACTGAGCAGCAAGGGGATCAATTGACTGGTTGTCCAGAAAGCTAAAGGCTGATGCGAAGTTAGCCCAGGGAGAAAAGAAAGCAAAACAAGGAGGACTGAAAGAAATCATGGTGTAGTGAAGATTCCTGTGCAGAAATTCCCTCCCTTGCTGAATTACCATGGCCTTGTAGCATTGATGATTTGCCTTTTCAAATGTGGCTTTGTCCAGAACTCCTTGCCTGACAGGCTAACAGGTATTTCCCAGCTGAAACTGGAAGAATTCTCTTGGTACTCTGCCATCCACCCAAGTCTAGGTCAGACCTTTTGGTAAGTTTAACATGGATGCATTTCTCAAATTAAGTCTTGCTACTGAGACTTATTTTTTCCCCTCCACCCCAACTCCCCCCCTTCTTCTCCCTCAGAGCTCTAGAATTTTTGAGACACTTGCGAGTTTTGATGCTCTTTTTTGTGAAGCTGAATGTACGCAAGGAACTAGCAGGTAGCTGTCAGGAGTCATGGCAAACCAAAAGAAAAATCACTGCAGCAAAATAGGGAGATAAGAATTCCTTCGGTCTGCTGGACTATTTTGCTTTCACTGCCTACCTGCTAAAGATCGTTCTTAGACACTGGTAGTAATTTTAGTCCTTAAAGAAAGGAATCCACTACCTTTTATACATTTTATTTTTTTATTCAAGCAGTAACAGCAGCAGAAACCCTGAGGTGTTTACTTGCATCTCTGTCAGGAAGGAAGAAAAGGAATTTGCTTGTGACTTTATAGGGCTCAAATTAGCTACTGTACTCTTAGGATTTTGCCTGTAAAAGTACAGACTGTACTGCTATTTAATGGATATAATCAGTCCCTACTCCTCTTGGTTTGCTTCTAAGATGCGGATGAGAGAGAACGGAAACAAAAACCAAAACATTTCAGTTTCTGACTATTGAAGGCAGATTTCATTCTACCTTACAACATAGAGTCCTACCTGCTCGTGATCTAGTCTACTTCTGAAATTTGAGAGATCCCAAGCACATGTGATAGGGAGGCCTAATAACTTGTCTGAGCAAGGGAACATTGCATTAAGTTTAGTTGCTTTTGGCATTCATTTTGTTAGCTGACAGGCCCACAGTGAAATCTCCCACCCAAACCTCCTTCCATCATGCTAAGGAGCAGAATTCAAGAGGGACAGACCTTGCCTCTGGTCGCTATCATAACAGTTACACTATCCCCTTTTCTTGAAGGATTTGTCCTCCTTAACTATAAAGGAGTATGGATGATGCATATGTCCTGTTCTGAAATTGCAAGTGTACGTGGGTGGAGGAGACAAAAATGATTTTCATGCTTCTGTTGTTATGAAGTCCTTATTTCATACTTGATAAAATAGATCTTAATAATATAAGCCGAATATTCTTAAGTGGTGGTTTAAATATGTTTGTAACATTTAAATGTTTTTAAATCATGTAAAAAAGTTGAAATGAAGCCTAAGAAATCCTGCTTGTGATTGTCCTGCTGATTTGAGGAATGCCCAGTGGTATTGTGAAATGAGGCAAGTCTGACAAGGCGTTTATTTATTTTTGTATTATGTTCCCCATGCTTTGTGGAGGAGACAAATGTTTGATTTGCAAATGATTTTCCTTGTGTCCGTATACTTTGGTCAATGTGTTTTGGATGCCTGGCTGGAAAAGAGTGGACAACTAGTTTACCAAATGGTTAATTCTTTAATCTGCTTGTGTATTCATGTCATTTTAGATTATATTAATTTCTATAAATCGGTTTGGGGACTTTAGTCTTGAGATGGTTCTTGCGCTCATCAGACACCCGTGGAGCTGCAGCTCGTGCAGGGTGTGCTTGCCCCACATCACATTTCTCTTTCTGAGCAAACGGAGCGGGGAGAAGGGGAGAAGCAGAGCGCCAAATTCTGCTTGCTCACATCGGTGTAGGACACAGAGGAGCTCTTGGGTCTTAGGTCACTGTGAATTCATAGGGGTGCAGAACCCAGCCCTAATCTGGTCTCTGAATTAGTCAGGGAATTTTGCAAACTGTTGAAGACATGCAGTCCATAATTTCCATTTGAAATCAATGACTGTTTTGTACTTGCATTGCTTTAAGACAGCGTAAGAAATCAGCTCTCTTCCTCCCACTTAGACCTCAATTTTGTATACTTCTTGATGACTTTTCCCTGAAAAGTGGCTACGTAACATTTTTTTTTTTTCAATGAGCAAACTAAGTTTGCAATAAAGCTGCACTTTTAATAACAAATCTCCATTTGTATGCATGTGAACCAGCAGTCCCTCTGTCCTGTCCGACGCACATCCGAAAGGGGCTGCCGCTCTCGCCTCGTGCTCGTGCATCTCCCGCCCTCTCCCTGCCCCTCTTCTCGTGGTTACAGCCTACCAAGCAGTTACGGGTTTTGATCTTAGGTTTAACCAGGTGGGACGTTTGGGTGGGCTTCTATCCCCGCACAACCTGTTGACTTTGCTGGTCTTCATGTTGAACGTGAGGGATCCGGTTAGGTGTGTCCATCCTCTTCCTCATGGAATATTGCTCAAGATGGTCCTTGAGGCTGCTGCTTACAGGATTCCCAGATCCTCATGGAAAGGTTTCTGCCTATTATCCCCTCATACAGCAATTAGCACTCTCATTACCCTCTCACCCAGGAGTCAGCGTAGCAATTTCAGACCATTGATTTGAGATGGTCAATATCTGCCATGCCCCTTGCGTGTTAACAAATGGAATAAAGATGGTTTAACCTAGGAGTTAATTTCTTTTATATAAGATTTGAGTTTTAAGGAATTAAAAAACATTAGAGCTGGAATAAAGTACCAGTAATGTCATTTTTGATGATAGCAGCACCTCCGTTAGCCTTTGTATGGAGGTGTAAGTATTGGCAGGAAAGACACTTAACACAAGATGGACTTTGGCAGTGCGTGGGAGAGGCTGGTCAGGGAGAACCTGGTGTCCAAGACAATCTGTAAGGCTTGCTTGGATGTTCCCCTTCATTTAGGAAGACATGATTGCACTCGGTCCCTTGAGGTTGTTGAGTTGCCCTTTGGCCTTTTGCCATCACTGTGGCACAAGAAGATGGGTGCATGATGCAAGTAGACAGAAAAGATGCATCTTTTTGTTCCCTTCTGCCTTCCAGTTCCTCCAGGTTTTTGCTTTGTTCCCTTCTCATTGGTGGTGTTGCTTATCTGTGTGTTTGGGCATGAAGGTTAGAGAAGCATGGTGTTTAATGCTGAGAAGCAGCATACTCTGCCGAATGCTCTGGGGAGGAAGGCTGTGCAGTAATAGCTAGATTTTCCACCTAGTTCAATGAGTTGGTGAAAGGAGCAGCTTTGATACCAACTGCATCAGTTTCTGTCTCTGGATAACATCCGCAGTGGATGGAAAACTGGGAATTTTTTCCCGGGAAGGGTGTCCCAAAGAGGCCCTATGAAGGTGTCTTCACCAAAGAGATGGCTCTGGTGGTTGATGGCTGGGTTGTTAATTTGCTTGTGAAGTTTCCCATTCCTGACTCGATGCGGGACTGCGGTGTCATCACGGGTTTCCCTGGAGGCATCAGTAGAGCTCCAGAAATGCTTCCCCCAGTCTTTGTGCAAGCCGGGTCCACAGCCAGCTTCTCCAACATGAGTGTTTGGGACAAGGAGGAGGATAAGATTCTAGAAGAGGCAGCTGCCTTGGCTCTTCCAAGAAAGCAGGGACGATGGCAGAAGACATTTTCAGCAGACAAGCAGTGATGTTCTACCACGAGGCATTTCTGTGGGGCTCTGGGCAGCTTTCCTTATGGGATGCTTCTCTTTGCTGCAGTGTTTTTACCATTTCATGCAAGAGTCTCCCATGCAGGCCCGCTGCAAAGTCTGCAGTAGTGAAGTATCGACTGAAAAATAGGTTTGGGCTGGTGTGCTGCTCGCATCATCTCACAGGGTCTCTGTGGTGATATTTAAAAGATAGTGGGAGTTGGAGAGGGCTATTTGGGCCATTCCTCTCAACTTTGGTGTTGCCTTCCTCTCCACACTCTTCATTACTTTTTTTTTCTTTTTTTCCTTTTTTTTTTTTGTGTTGTTTTTCTTCTCCCATTCTCAGATCCATCTCCAGTGTAAGTAATGCCAACCAGTCAGTCTTCTGTGGCTTCATCCTGAGAGAATCTGACTGTAAAACGAAAAGGAGGAGGTCTTGCTGCAGCTCATAACATACATTTTGGATGCTAGAGAGCCAGTGCGGTAGATTAGAGTGTTTCTCAGCTCAGTGAGCAAGACGATGCTCCACAGCACGC